CGTAGAACCCGCTCTGTCAAAACTATCAGTTCTGGTATCCAGCCATCCAAGATGGTGGCTGCTGTATGTGGTTTTTCGCAGTTTTCTACTTATTATGCGGACGCTAAATACTAAGAGTGATTACTGTTGATATCTGAGGCAGCGTTTCATTGATATTTACTATTTATCAATGATAGTAACATCGTCCTGCTCATATTTACTATTTATCAATGATAGTAACATCGTCCCCCTGATATTTACTATTTTTAAATGATAGTAACACCGTTCTACTGATATTTACTATTTGTCAATGATTATAACACCGTTCTACTGATATTTACTATTTGTCAATGATAGTAACACCGTCCTGATGATATTTACTATTTGTCAATGATAGTAACACCGTCCTGCTGATAGATCCTGATATACACTGAGGAGATTAGATTCATGAGGTGCTCTCACTATTTTATCCTTCTGATATTTTGTAAAAATTTATGAATGTAAATTTTGTATGATATTTTGTGAGGGTTCATGAATGTAAATTTTGTATAATACTGTATTTGACATTTTGTAAGGAAAGGATTCATTGAATGTCTCTGATATATTGTGAAAAATTATGAACGTAGTTTTTGTATTACATTTGATATTTTGTGAGGGTTCATGAATGTAATTAGATGTGTTATTTTGTAAAGTTTAGTATTCCCTCCCGAAAGTAAATTTTGTATATATTTGATAATTTGCGAGGATTAAGGATTGACTCACGAGGTCAATAACGGGCATTGCCCAATTTAGTATTTAATCTGCGATTGTATATTCTTACCTCAGAGAGCAATTTGCGCTTTCTGCTTTACGTACAACAAGTTAAAACCAGCGGCTGCCAGGCAGGATACGCCCACATTTTCGAGAGATGGATAGAGAACAAGCTAACAAGAAAGTGATTTTTCCTACTATCAAGGGCCATAATTCAGGAAATTACAATTCAATATGCGCGAATATCGAAAGGAACTGAGATCTTTGTGTTATAAACTCACATTTCAAGTTTCAACAAAATCAGATAAAAATTGTGACCTCTATAGGGTCCACAACCTTGATATACCATATTTTTACGCTATCTGAGAAGGAACGGTGGCCATTTTGTCTGTCAATTTTGGGCCGATTTTCACGAAATTCGAACTCAACCTTCCTTAGGGTGTAACGGTGATATAATAATACGTTTTTTTAAATCGGATAAAAATAATGACCTCTATAGGGTCCACAAGCTAAAAACGCAATTTTTCGTACAATCAGAGGCCATAATTCAGGAAGTTACGGTCCGATATGCGCGAAGATCGAAAGGAACTGAGATCTTTGGGTTATAAACTTACATTTCAAGTTTCAAAAAAATCGGATAAAAATTGTGACCTCTATAGGGTCCACAACCTTGATATACCATATTTTTAAGCTATTTGAGAACGAAGGGCAGCCATTTTGTCTGTCAATTTTGGGCAGATTTTCACAATATTCGAAATCAACCTTCCTTAGGGTGTAATGGTGATATAATAATACGGTTTTTTAAATCGGATAAAAATTATGACCTCTGTAGGGTCCACAAGCTAAAAACGTGATTTTTCGTACAATCAGGGGCCATAATTCAGGAAGTTACAGTCCGATATGCGCGAATATCGAATGGAACCGCGATCTTTGGGTTATTAACCTACATTTCAATTTTCAACAAAATCGAATAAAAATTGTGACCTCTATAGGGTCCACAACCTTGATATACCATATTTTTACGCTATTTGAGAACGAACGGCGGACATTTTGTCTGTCAATTTTGGGCCAATTTTCACGAAATTCGAAATCAACCTTCCTTAGGGTGTAACGGTGATATAATAATACGGTTTTTTAAATCAGATAAAAATTATGACCTCTATAGGGTCCACAAGCTAAAAACGCGATTTTTCGTACAATCAGGGGCCATAATTCAGGAAGTTACGATCCGATATGCGCGAATATCGAAAGGAACCGAGATCTTTGGGTTATAAACTTACATTTTAAGTTTCAAACAAATCGGATAAAAATTGTGACCTCTATAGGGTCCACAAGCTAAAAATGTGATTTTTCGTACAATCAGGGGCCATAATCCATGAAGTTTCGATCCGATACATGCCAATATCGAAAGCAGCCGAGATCATTTGGGGATAAACCTATATTTCAAGTTTCGTCAAAATCGGATAAGAATTGTGACCTGTAGAGACGGCATAATACGTCCACATGAAAATGTGGGCGTATAAAAATGTTATGAGTTAGACCAACATGTATTAAACTACTCTACTACTAATACCAATAGTTGCTGTTCGATATTCTGATATATACGTACACCTATTGCTACATTAAGCCAATTGAAAAAAAAAAAAGTTTTTTGTTTATTTTTGGGGCTTTTTGTGAAGATGATGATCACCGTACTTTAAGAGTGTAGGACTACTACTTGTAGGTAGGGTATAGTCTAAATATAGATGATTAACTCGTTGGTCGCAGGTAGAGATAAAGATAACATCGGTCCTGAAAATTGAAAGAAAAGACAAAATCTTGCCTTTTTAGTTGTGCTGACCTGGAATTTTTTAGAGTGTAGAATTTATTTTCCAATCTTGAGGATTTAGGCCTACATTTTACTATTCAATGACTACTGTGAGCTATGACAGTTCTCTCAACTGCAGCTTATAATAAGATCTGTACATATCAAGAGATTTAAGAGTGAAATAATGCGAATTTTAGCAAATTTTCACTTCCAGTTGCAGTAAGAGTTGTCATACGAACATTATGTTGCGAAAACATAGCAGCTGTGAAGACGTCTGTATTATACTACATTTGTTTGAATTTCAGTTTGATAATATTGGGGATAAAGCTTCGTAAAATTGTCGAATTTATCCGATTTTTGTCAAAATTACCCACTATTTTTGAGAGTGTAGTTATAAACATATATGAAATTTTATTTTTTTAATCGAGAGACCTGATACCCAGTTACTAACAACCACAAAAAGAATTCATGGGACCCCGCGGCAGTGGAGATATCGCGGCATAAAGTTAGGGTTCTTTATAAGGTTTGATTTATAATTATACACTTCAGGAATAACCAAATGGCACCCCTGAGTGGAAAGATAGATTTTTCTTTCTTCATTTTTTTGAAACATTACTACCTAGCCTAATATACTATTCAAAAAAAGTAGGGGATATTTGATTTTGGGGGCATAATACTAAAATATGCAAATGACTACGAAAAAAGTCACTATAGAACCTAACAGAAGAAACATTTCCAGTTACATGTGACGCCCAAACGCACCAATAGCTACCGCATGGAATGCAGGTGATGCTTGGGATCATCATGGGGGTCCAACCCAAGATTTGCACGACTCTGACTTTGAATGTTACAGTCATTGTGGCATTGAATTCCAGGGTGGAAACATCAGTTTAATTGTTTTAGTGACCAGAAAACAAATTTTGATATGCGTCGGCTTACCCAAAATGAAAGGTTACGTGCCCTTGGCATGCCACAGATCGGCACAACACAGGCGGTTGTGGCGCGGACGATGAATGTTTCTCAGTCTGTCATAAGCAGGCTATGGTCCAGATACCGTGATACACAATCTGTACAGGACAGACCACGCTCAGGTCGACCAAGGGCGACAACTCAAGCCCAGGATCGATTTATCCGTACCTTGGCCTTGAGAAATCGTGTCATCACAGCAAATCAGATCAGCGCTCGTCTTCAAACAGACACTGGTGTGAGAGTGAGTGGCCAGACGATTCGGAATCGACTGCATAGGAGTCACCTTCGCGCCCGACGTCCTCGCGTGATCCCTTGTTTGAGAGATCATCACATTCAGGCAAGACGTCGTTGGTGTAGGGATCGTCAACACTGGGATAATCGACGCTGGAGCAATGTGATGTTTTCAGATGAGTCAAGGTTCACTGTTGATTTTTTGGACAGACGTAGGAGGCTGTGGCGTCGTCGAAACGAGCGCTTCCAAGACTTTAACGTCATCAGACATGATCAATTTGGGGGTGGTTCTGTTATGGTGTGGGGAGGCATCACTGTTGCTGGAAGAACGGCTTTACATGTTGTTGCAGGGCGTGTTACAGGCCAGTACTACCGGGACAACATCTTGGCAGTCCATGTTGTGCCGTTCGCACGACGTCATGGCCGCCGTTTCATCTTCCAGGATGATAACGCAAGATGTCACAGGGCCAGGATCGTTACAGGTTACCTCCAACAACAGAACATCACCACATTACCTTGGCCAGCACTGAGTCCCGACCTCTCCCCCATCAAGCATGTCTGGGACAGAGGTTACGTCAACGTCAACAACGTCCTGCCAATGTCCAAGAACTTGCTGCTGCGTTGCAACAGGAATGGGACAATCTGGACCAAAATGACCTTAGACGTCTCATTAGGAGTATGCCACGTCAGATCAATGCTTGTTTGGCAAACAGAGGAGGATTTACCCGTTACTGACTTGGTTGTGATGCTGTGGTAACTTTGCTGTTTGACCCCGGGTATCATTTTACCCTTATAATGGCCAGTCTGTGCCTTACTTAGTCTAACGATCATTTGGAATAAATCGATGAATGTGAACTTCATTTCATTTTGTCATTTGTTTCTTCGTCAGTTTTATTAGGTGACTTTAATAACACTTAAAAATCAAATATCCCCTACTTTTTTTGAATAGTATATATCGAATCATCATTCGTTTCATAAGTACTCATTTACAACCTGAAAAACAGCAGCTAACATTGCCTAAAATTTTAGAAAAGGTGAGAAAAAAGCCCCAAAAACACCTGTTTGCCGTATCTCGGCTAGGGTCAATTTCTGAGATCGGCGGTTTTGGCTATCGAGTAGTCTCATGGGCATGACCAAACCCTATGAATATGAATGGAATCGGCCGACCCATCACCTTCCCGATTTTGCATGATTTTGCATGGTTTTCTCGTGGACAAGCACTTAATATCTTTAAAATTGAAGTTAAAAAATGGTAGTTACTTACATCATGAAATAATTCTAATAAATCTTTATAACATGGTTGGTCACGGAAATACTTTTTCAGTAGAAAATATAATGATGACTCTAAAAAATTGGAATCATTTATTGCTCTCATACCCACATTTTGCTGTAAAGAAGAAAAAATAATATTACAAAGACAGACAACAAATGGTAATAGAAGACGTAGATATTTTCAGGGCACATGAAACAATTTGTTGTCCAAATTAAAGCCAGTCAAATTAAGGACCTATAAACACTTTGAAAATACTGTTAGGTTGCGAGACAACGAAAAATACGACCACAGCAGCTAAGTCCTCTGAGCAATCCATACAGGTTATCATATTATTATCAAGAATAACAAATTAACAACCCATTAAGTAATATTCTGAAATAATTAAATTTGATTGGCTTCTAGTTCTTCAAGATGCTAATATTTATTACACAGCATGTAGCGGTAACAATGATAAATTTAGCTGTTGGAGTTATTGGAAACTGTTGGAAAGTTTTCATCACATCAACCTTGTGTAGTAATTTCAAATCAATCGGGAAATAACTTTAACCACTAGAGGGTCTACAGACTTTTAAAAGTGATCAAGGTTAATAACTCACAGGTAATTATAGACTTCTCCATTTTTCAAACATAAACACTGTGTACAAACAGTGGGACTCGAAAAATAAATTCATAATCTTGAGTTTCCACAAGTTTTTCAAATAGGTCAAGGGCAATAACCCTGGAAGCAATTATTGGAAATGGTTGAAAATCTATCAAAATAACAACTGTGTATAAATTTCAATTGATAATAACTTTAGTCTTGAGAGGGGCCATGGCTCTGACAACAATTATCACATATTAATAAACTTCTTCATCTCATAACATTAAACACTGAGTGTAAATTTAAATTCATAACAATTGTGGATAATGGATAGACAGGAGGAGTGATAGCAATATACGCCCAGATTGAAAGTGGTTGTATATATATAACTATATACAGAGTGTTGCTAACCAAATCAAAGAGATCTAGTCATTCTAAGATAGATGTATCACCATCAATTCAACCAGAGACCTCTTTAGCTTCAAAGTAGTAGGATCAAGGCTCTACAATGTGACTGAAACACTCGCATTTGCAAGTGAATTTTGACAATGGCGACCAGATATTTATAAATGCTAGGTTTCTGGCGAGTGAACATATATCTTGAAGTCCCCAATTAACACTATAGCTATCTGAACTTTTCTCCGTAAAGATAACGTAATCGGCAATGATCCCGGTCGACTGTCACTCTTGTTTACTTCCTGGTTTGAAAATGGGTCAATCCCATTGTCCTCTGCGAGGAAATTCTCATTGCGCATGCGCCGTATTTATCGGAAGTTTACGAGACAGCTGACAGCATGGCTAGCAGACGAATCAAACCTATATCATCTTACTTTACTAGTAAAGTAATTTTGTCTTGCAGTTAGTCTCAGTCGGGAAAAAATGATGATAGTCATGCTACCGACGCTACACCACCCAAACAAGCAAAATTACAAGCCTTGCCGTCTTCGTCTCGCAGTCTGAATTAATAAAACAAGTCTGTTTAAAACATCTTTTATTATTATTATAGGATGACAAGTTGAAGGGTTATGTATGTTCACAATATAATTTAGCTATATCATATGACAAATTATTCTTATCTTCAGACTTAGCAACTGAAAAATTTGTTTGGCTAGTGGTTTTGAAAATTTACTTATGTTTGCACAAGTAAGTTCAAAATACTGTGTAGAGCCTTGAGTAGGATTAACATTTGGCAAAAAAATTCCAGCACTTACTTTTTTATACCAACAAGATTTACCTCGTCTTGTAATAGAAGAATCCATCATATCATCAACTATTAAGGAAAATGCCTGAAACTAAATATAAGAGTACCGATACTTAAAAATTCTTTAAAATTTTTCAAATAATGTTCAAACACAAGTGTCTTTCAAGTTACCCAAATCTGTAGACTATTTTTTTGATTTATGTAGTCTAACAGCCTCTCAGACAAAAGGATATTTCAAAAGAATTTAAACATCCGGATATTGTCTCACTTTTATAAAATGCTAAATATGTATTATTAATAGGACTGTGTCGATATATCGATACACCGATATGTATCGATACGTTCCAGCGATACTCATATCGATACGTAATATAGCTGTATCGCCGTATCGTTGAAAAAATTCCTCAGTTAAGAAAGACCACAAAACCCATGTGGCGAAAGAAGACGATCTCGGCATGGTTTGCCAATCGAGCGTCTTCCGCGCTCCGTATGAATTCCAGGTACCGGTAGATATTAAAATAATAATTGGATCATACATTGATGGATTCACTGACCAGTTGTTAGGTAAATTTAAATCTTCATTGAATATAATCCCCTGATAGAACACCAAATACACCGAGAAACAGTCAATTAATAATATATTTTCCTGATAGAATTCCAATGACACGTGACATATCGTTTCGAATTAGGTCAATAAGCCAGTTCTAAATAGCGCTTACCGTTATGATTTTTTTTTTTATTTTATACACCTTCTGACAAAGGCTTAATTTAAAAAATATTGTTTTTATTGAAGGCTATATCATAATCGTACGGTAGTTTTATTTTAAAGCAATTTCAAGTATGGTTGTCACCTGACAATTGTGTCGTACGTGTGTCTATCAATTAACGAATGAATAAAAACTTTTGCCAAGTTACGTGGCTAGTTACCTGATAGACAAAGACTACAAATTGTGTTATGAAGAAATGCCATGGTGCCGTATCAGCTTATTTTGTGTACGTACAGCATTTTCTGATACTGGCAATAGTTGAAAAATGTTAATATTTTAGATCATCGACTTATGAAAAGCGAAAGTTTCATCGAATAAACGAAGACAGTAATTAATTTATTCTGGAATATTACTCGAACTTCAAGATGGTACGTGAATTGAATATGGAAAATTTTCAAAAGGTGTATCTGTCGTTATTTTTGTGGTAATCACATACATTAAAATATGACATTCTCAACAACAAATTACCAAGAATTATTTTTGTTGAAGTCTAGTTATATTAAAGGGAATGGAGCTTATAATTAACCCATATCTTACAGGACCTCAAATGACAAAATTCTGGCCGGTTTGTTTAAAAATTGATTAAGAACCCTGATGCTTACCCATCTCAAACATATTGAAACAGAATGTAGTTTGAGATTATTTTGGGCATAATTCGTGATGTCATCATATCGCGATACGTATCGTGTATAGGGTTGTCGTATCGTCAATACGTACATGTATCGTATCGAAAATGAACTGTATCGACACAGCCCTAATTATTAATGGTAGGAACATTACAATGTATAAAAACAAGCAGTTGCCATGCAAGGTACGCCCACATTTTGCAAGAGATGGACAGAGAACAAGCTAAATAAAGCAATTTTTCATACAATCACCGGCCACAATCAAATAAAATTCTGACCTCTAGAGGGTCCACAAGGTTTTTACACAATTTTTCATACAATCAGGGGCCATAATTCAGGAGGTTACAGTCCAATATGCGCCAATATCGATAGCAACCAGTGATGGGATTTCAAAATTTTTCTTGTCAAGACATTTTACCGAAAATAAAGGGGCATAACCACAATTAAAGATAGGTTGCTAGGCAACGAAACATACGCCCACAGCAGCTAAATCGTCTGGGCAGCTAAATGTTCGGTAATGAAACATTTATAATACACTAAAATATGTTTAAGAGCAACAACTCAGAAAACCATAAGAATTTGTTTGGTTTTTATAAAGTTCTGCCCCATGCTAACGTTTTGTATACAAAACTTTTAATATCATGGATTTAGCTGTTCAAGTCATAAAAATTGATTTAAATCAATATACTTGTTCGTCTCAAGATCATAAACTCTGTGTATCAATCTGAAGTCAATCGAATGATAACTTTAGCCTTCAGAGCGTCAAAGATTTTGCCATAACTCTGGCATTAATTATCGTAAATCACTGAAAATCAACAGGCTTCTTCGTCTCATGACCTTAAATACTGTGTATAAATTATAAGTCAATCGGATATTAACTTTGGCCTCTAGAGCGCCTATAAGATTTTTCAAAGTGATCAAGGGCCATAACTCTGGCAGTAATTATCGGAAATTGCTAAAAATCAATAAGCTTCTTCGTCTCATGACCTTAAACACTGTGTATGAATTTATAGTCAATCGGATATTAACTTTGGCCTCTAGAGCGTCCACAAGATTTTTTGAAGTGATCAAGGGCTATAACTCTGGCAGTAATTATCGGAAATCGCTGAAAATCAATAAGATTCTTTGTCTCATGACCCTTAAACACTGTGTATAAATTTAAGATCAATTAGATATTAACTTTGGCCTCTGGAGCGTCCACAAGATTTTTTGAAGTGATCAAGGGTCATAACTCTGGCAGTAATTATCGGAAAACGTTGAAAATCAATAGGCTTCTTCATCTCAAGACCTTAAACACTGCGTATAAATTTAAAGTCAATGGGATATTAACTGTGGACGCCAGACGGCCGAATGGGGGCGGCGACAATATACAACCATATTTCAATGTGGGCGTATAAAAATATCGACTTTCAGATCATCTAAAATTACGATAAATTAGCAATGATCAAGGTCTGCAAATCAGTCTACTTTCAGCTACAATCCATAACAGTCACATCTTTCTGAGAATCCACCTTGTGGCAGGTTCATTCTGTTGGCTATCCAAGTAATAAGCACATTTATTAACCATAATTTTGATAATCCTGTTACAATCTTGCTGAATATTTACAACACGACCATTACGTAGTCTACTGTTATCCCAAATTATTTTCTATGACCACATTTTAATGTGGGCATATAAAAATCACATGTCGACAAAATATTCAAATCTCGTACGTAATAAAAATTCATATTTAATACCCGTACGGTATTCAATTCATACCATAATTAAACATCACATTTCAACAAAATATTCAAATCCCGTACGTAATAAAAATAGGTGAACTCCATTTATACGGCAGCAAATGAATGCAGAATTTCCGAAATAAAAATAGTTTGTGATGTCAGAACATCGTTTTTTCTTTATAAAATGTCAACAAAATATTCAAATCCGTGCGTAATAGAAATAGGAACACCTCACTATTTAATTCCTGTATGGTTATGGTATTCAAATGTATGTCAGTAATATTCCTACAAAATTACGTGTTTTCGTAATACGATAGAATGAAAGTTTGCCGATCTGTACCTGCTTCAACCGCAGCCAGTAATATTCCTCCAAAAATTACATGTCTTGGTTTATACAGCAGCAAATGAAAGAAAAGCGTTCAAAATAATAATTACATTGATAGTTAAATCACTTGTGAAAAGGCATATGTGACTCATAGCACATAGCTTCATAGTAAGCACTGCCTTATATACTCTTCAAAAAAAGTAGGGGATATTCAGAAACAATACAAAACTGCGGAAATGCACTGATGTTTTTATTAGAGGTAACCAGTGTATGTTAATAACAGGCCAATTGCCTACACATGAACAAAAACAGTTCATATGGGCGGCTTATTTGACGGCCCCATTTCACTCGCAAAGAGATACACCGTCAAAAGTGAAAATGGACGTTTTTGATTTTTGTCTTAAGAATGAGTAATTGCTCCACCAATCCTCAGACATTTAGCAATTCGTCGTGGCATGCTCCTAATCAACCGTCCAATCACACGATTTGGGGCAATCTGACCCACTCCTCTTGCAGTGCCACGGCAAACTCTTGCCGTGTTGTCGGTTGACATTGACGTCGATGAACACGTCTCCTGATCAAATTAAATGTAACACACTAAAGCAAAGATACGCTAAACAGTAAATCTTATACAAGAACCGATAGGAAAGCAAACATGGATAGATAAACCAACACGCGGCAGTTTTCATCAACCCTTCCTTGAAGTGTCAAATTTGACAATGAACCCATCCCACGTTTATGGCGCTATTGCGTGTCGCATGTGCAGCTCAGTGGTTCTGTTAAGGCAACAAGTTCTTCTTCAGTGAACATACACTTAAAGCATGTCAAATGTTCATGACTATTTATCATATCATAAAAATGTAGGCGTATAATAAAAATTGTGATCTCTAGAGGTTTCACAAGCTAAAAACGCAATTTTTCTGACAAAAAGGGGCCATAATCCAGGAAGTTATGGTCTGATATGCGCCAATATCGAAAGGAACCAAGATCTTTGGGATATAGACCTGTATTTCAAGTTTTGTCAAAATCAGTTAAAATTGTGACCTGTAGGGTGTCCGTAAACAATATGTGAATGGACACATCGATGGACAGCGGCGATGGCATAATACATCCACATGAAAATATGGGTGCATAAAAATATTCTACCTTGTCTACTTCCAGATTCACTATTAATAATATCATTGAGTTGAATAATTGCTTTAAATAAGATATTTTTTTAGTGTGCAAATTTTCACTGTTTTCATAACTTACTATTTCTATACACCATCCTAATATTCGAGCTCGTTTTATATCATCATCAGTAGGATTTGTAACAAGTTGACAATATGATGTAACAACGGCTATCCCTCGATTCTTTTTACCAAATGGTACATTGTATTCTAAAACCTTAAAAAATATATATATTTAAAAAGTCAAATACATGTACATACACTGTAGATGTAGTTAGCTCAAATTAATACCGTAAGCAGTAAGCAATAATTTAAACCAGCGGCTGACAGGGAGGATACGCCCACATTTTGCAAGAGATGGATAGAGAACAAGTTAAAAACAACATTCCAGCTTTGATTGATATGGTACTTTTTAGAAATGAAATATGAAATGACTGTAATATGATACAAAGAAGGCTAGGCATTGGATTTGTTTTGCCAAATTTACAGACAAATTACTAACAAAAAAGTGGGTGTCTTTACGGTATAAGGAATAAATATGCAAAGTTCCAAGATGATACATTCAGACAATAGATGATAAATACAAAAAATGGGTGTGGCTCTGCCCCTGGGGGTTGGATATGGAACAATATAAATAGGTACCACCCTGTTATAGAAATGACAACATCAATAGTTGCCGTCCTTAGGGTATAAGGACTAAGTATTCCAAGTTCGAAGATAATCCATTTAGAATTGTGGCCTTAGGGCGCTAAGGCAAAAATTGGGCATGGCTCTGCCCCTGGGGGTCGGGGCATTCACCAAAATCAATAGTTGACGCCCTTAGGCTATAAGGAATACATATGCCAAGTACCAAGTTGATCCATTCAGAATTCCGGCCTGTAAACGATAAACACAAAAATTGGACGTGGCTCTGCCCCAGGGGGTCGGGACATGCAGTTGGTGTCCTTAGGCTATAAGGAATACATATCCCAAGTTCAAAGACAATCCATTAGGAATCGTGGCCTGTAGGCAACTCACAGAGACAATGAAAAAATGGGTGTGGCTCTGCCCCAGGCAGTTGGGCAATCACCAAAAACAATAGGGGGCATCCTTAGGGTATAACGAATAGGTATGCAAAGTTTCAAAATCATCTGTTAAGAATTGCGGCCTGTAGATGACAAACAAAAAAATACAAGAAATGGGCGTGGCTCTGTCCCAGGGGGTCGGGAGTTGACACAGGTCCGCCATTAGAAGGTGTGTATTCAGATGTGTGTCCTCGATATACACCATATACACACACACACACACACACACAGACGGGGGCGACGGCAATATACGTCCACATTATGAATGTGGACATATAAAAAGGATTTTTTGTACAATCAGGGGCCATAATCCAGAAGGTTATGGTCTGAAATGCGAAAACATCAAAAGGGACTGAGATTTTTGGAATATAAAGATATGTTTTAAGTTTCATCAAAATTGGATAACCAGCGGCTGCGAGGCAGGATACGCCCACATTTTGCAAGAGATGGAAAGAGAACAAGCTAAACAAAAAGCTATTTTTCGAACAATCAAGGGCCATAATTCAGGAAGTTACGTTCCGATATGCGCGAATATCGACAGGAACCAAGATCTTTGGGTTATAAAGATATATTTCAAGTTTCATCAAAATCGGCACAAAATTGTGACCTCTACAGGGTCCACAACCTTGATATACCAGATGTTTACACTATTTGCGTACGAGGGGCGGCCATTTTGTCTGGCAGTTTTGGTCTGATTTTCCCGAAATTCGAACTCAACTTTCATTACGGTGTAATGGTAATATATTCAAACGTTTTTTAAAATCGGATAATAAGGCGATTTTTCGTACAATCAGGGGCCATAATTCAGGAAGTTACGATTCGATATGCGCGAATATCAACAGGAACCAAGATCTTTGGGTTATAAAGATATATTTCAAGTTTCATCAAAATCATCACAAAATTGTGACCTCTACAGGGTCCACAACCTTAATATACCACATGTTTACACTATTGGCGTATGAGGGGCGGCCATTTTGTCTGGCAGTTTTGGTCATATTTTCCTGACATTCGAACTCAACCTTCATTCGGTGTAACCGTTATATATTCAAACTTTTTTTTTAAATCTGATAATAATTGTGACCTCCAGAGGGACCACAGCTAAACCAGCAGCTGCCAGGCCGAGATGGATAGAGAACAAGCTAAAACGAAAGTGATTTTTCCTACAATCAAGGGCCATAATTCAGGAAATTACAATTCGATATGAGCAAATATCGAAAGGAACCGAGATCTTTGGGTTATAAACTTACATTTCAAGTTTCATCAAAATCAGAAGAAAATTGTGACCTCCATAGGATCCACAACCTTGATATACCATATTTTTACGCTATTTGTGAACGAAGGGCGGCCATTTTGTGTGTCAGTTTTGGGCCGATTTTCATGAAATTCAAACTCAGCCGTTCTTATGGTGTAACGGTGATATAATCAGGGGCCATAATTCAGGAAGTTACGTTCCGATATGCGCGATTATATAAAGGAACCGAGATCTTTGGATTATAAACTTACATTTCAAGTTTCAACATAATCGGATAAAAATTGTGACCTCTATAGGGTCCACAACCTTGATATACCATATTTTTATGCTATTTGAGAACGAACGGCCGCCTATTTTCTGTCAATTTTGGGCCGATTTTCACGAAATTCAAACTCAGCCGTCCTTAGGGTGTAACGGTGATATAATAATACGGTTTTTAAAATCGGATAAAAATTATGACCTCTATAGGGTCCACAAGCTAAAAACATGGTTTTTCGTACAATCAGAGGCCATAATTCTGGAAGTTATCGTCCGATATGCGCGAATATCAAAGGAACCAAGATCTTTGGGTTATAAACTTACATTTCAATTTTCAACAATTTTCAATTTCAAGTTTCAACAAAATCGAGTAAAAATTGTGACCTGTATAGGGTCCACAAGCTAAAAACATGATTTTTCGTAGAAACAGGGGCCATAATCCATGAAGTTTCGATCCGATACATGCAAATATTGAAAGCAGCCGAGATCTTTTAAAGATATACCTATATTTCAAGTTTCGTCAAAATCAGGGGCCATAATTCAGGAAGTTATGGTCCGATATGCGCAAATATCGAAAGGAACCGAGATCTGTGGGTTATAAACATACATTTCAAGTTTAAATCAAATCAGATAGAAATTGTGATCTCTACAGCTCTACAGTGTTCACAAGCTAAAATTATGATTTTTCATACAATCAGGGGCCATAATCCATGAAGTTACCGTCCGATTCATGCCAATATCTTAGTGTGATAAACTTATATTTCAAGATTCATTGAAATCAGATAAAAATTGTGACCTGTAGAGTGTTCACAAACAAGTGTGGACGGACGGACGGGGGCGACGACAATATACATCCACATGAAAATGTGGGCGTATAAAAAGTAAAACTCATGGACAGTAATTGGTTGAAACATGCATCATTTTGTCATAAATATAATGTAATCAAACGGCTGTTATTATTTTCTATTCTTTCAAGGATAAATATGTGCCATCAAATTATCAGATTTAAATTCTCCTTGTTTTTTTACAAATCGCCTTTAAACTGTGATAAAATTTTCAGCTATTTTCTTGATGACATATAAAAACAGATTTCAAATCCATCAGTTTGTTGACGATAAAGAAAGGTTGCCAGGCAACAAAACATACGCAAACAGCAGCTAAATCGGCCAAGCAGTCGACAAGGGTTGTCGCATATTTATTCTTTTGTAGGTAATTAGGGGAATTTAATAGACAATTTCATACAGATGACATTATAATTTTCGTCGTTTGAGGATTCACAAGGTTCTAAAAATAGGTTGTCAAGCAACGAAACATACGCCCACAGCAGCTAAATCGTCCAAGGGTTGTCGCATATTTATTCCTTTGTAGGTAATTGGGGGCCTTTACAAGACAGTTCCATACAGATCAGATTAAAATTTTTGCCGTTTGAGGGTCCACAAGGTTCTACAAACTGAAACAAGGGTCTCAACTCTGGAAGTAATCTACAGAAATTATTGAAATTTGACAGGTTTTTTCGTTTTACTAATTTAAATAAAACATACAAATTTCATACTGATCAGATGATCACTTTTGTCATTCAAACTCAAACATTCACAAGGTTCACAACCACCATAACTCTAGAAATTATTAACGGAAATTGCTGAAATTCAATAGACCTGTTTCACAAATTTAAATGATGCATATAAATTTCATACATATCGGATGATAACTTTCATCAATCGAGCATTAACAAGGTTGAACAAAGTGAAACAAGGGCCATAACTCTAGAAGTAATAAACGGAAATTGCTGAAATTCAATAGGATTCTTCTCTTTACTAATTTAAATGATGCATGCAAATTTCATAGAGCGTTCACAAGGTTCAATAAAATGAAACAAGGGCCATAACTCTAGACGTAATCAACAGAAATTATTGAAATTAAATAGGCTTCTTCGTTTCACTAATTTAAATCATGCATATAAATTTCACACAGACTGGGTGATAACTTTTGGCGTTCAGAGCTTTCACAAGGTTCAATAATGTGAAACAAGGGACATAACTCTAGACGTAATGAACAGAAATTATCGAAATTAAATATGCTTCTTCGTTTCACTAACTTAAATCATGTATAAAAATTTCACAAAAATTGGATGTTAATTTTTGGCATTATAGCGTTCACAAGGTTCAACAAAGTGAAACAAGGGCCATAACTCTAGACGTAATAAACGGAAATTATTTAAATTAAATAGGTTTCTTCATCTCACTAATGCAAACAACATATCAATTTTAAAACAACTAGATGATAACTTTTGGCGTTAGAGCGTTCACAAGAAATTGTGACTGACCGACTGACGGAAGGACACCGGCGGCGGCAATATACGTCCACATTTCTATGTGGGCATATAAAAACTAAAACAAGGGCCGTAACACTAGAAGTTATCTACAGTTATTGTTGAAATTCGACAGGATTTTTTGTTTTACTAAAATAATGCATATAATTTTCATACAGATCGGATGATAACTTTTGTCGCTCGAACGTTCACAAGGTTCAACAAAGTAAAAGATAGGTTGCCAGGCAATGAAATTGCTGACATTCAATAGGATTCATTATTTCACTAATTTAAATGATGCATGTGAATTTCAAACAGATTAGGTGATAACTTGTCGTTCAAGCGTTCACAAGATTCAACAAAGTGAAACAAGGGCCACAACTCTAGCTGTAATTAGGGGGATCACGTGGCTAAGTGGGTAAGACGCTGGCTCGCTAGCCTGGAGGTCGGGTGTTCGATCGCTAGCTGCATTGGCCGAGAAACTTCATCGGTGTTAAATAGCTCCCGCAAAAGATATGGCAAACACATCTTATCACTCCAGCGTGATTTTCAGATCTCAAGACCTGTAATTAACGGAAATTTCCCGAAACTCAATAGGATTGTTCGTTTTACTAATTCAAACGATACATATAAATTTCATACAGATCGGATAATAACTTTTGTCGTACAACAAAATGAAACAAGGGTCATAACTCACGGCGTTATTAACGGAAATTATTGAATTTCAATAGGCTTCTTTGTTGCACTAATTTAAATGATACATATCAATTTCAAACAGATCGGATGATAACTGTTGTCATTAGAGCGTCCACAAGATTCAACAAAGTGAAACAAGGGCCATACAATGTAAATCTAGATGTAATAAATGGAAATTGCTGAAGTTCAATAGGAATTGTTTTACTCATTTAAATGATGCATATAAATTTTATACAGATCGGATAATAACTTTTGTCGTTAAGCCAGGCGCAGACGGGCAACTTTTTCGAGCAACTTTCAGGCAACAGTGAAATCGCTGGTCATTGAAAGAAAAAATCGCTCGTCTGCGCCAACGGGCAACAATAGTTGCCTGCTGTTGCTCCGAGTTGCTTCTCGTTGCCAAATATCAAACATGTTTGATATTCCACAACAGAAAATCGCTCGTCGCCGAGAAATTGTTCATCTGTTGCTTCAAAATTGCTCGTCTGCGGCGGTAGGCGACAACAGGCAACAAGCAACTGGTTAACTGTCCAATCAGCGAGCGCTCTACTGTCATCTGATATATGTTGTTGTATGTACGGCGCCATTTTGAATGATCACGTGATATCGGCATTCCGGATACATCCGGGGAAAAATTGCTTCTCGTTGCCAGTCAGCGCACACGGGAGACCTCGAGTTGCCAATTGCTCGGAGTTGCCAGTAGTTGCCTATTGCAGCAACAAGCGACGAAAAGATGACCGTCTGCGCCAAGCTTAAGAGCATTCACTAGGTACAACAATGCGAAACAAGGGCCATAACTCTAGATGTAATTAATGGAAATTGTTGAAATTCAATAGGATTCTTCGATTCACTAATCTAAATGATGCATATCAATTTCAAACAGATCGGATGATAACTGTTGGTATTAGAGCATTCATAAGATTCAACAAAGTGAAACAAGGGCCATAACTCTAGATGTAGAGAGAGAGAGAGAGAGAGAGAAATGGGGTTTAACGTCCACTCGACACAAACTAGGTAATTTCGGGACTAACATATGGTTTAATTTTATTTACATAATTCGCTTGCACGTAGTGGTCTTTAGCAGTGGGAGGAAACCGGAGGCCCCGGAGAAAACCCACGAGGTTGGACAGGCAAACTCTACTCCTTGCCACGTACAACCTGGGAATCGAAACCACGCCAGTCGACTCAATGACAGACTTTATGATACAGCGTGCGCACGCTAACAATTCAGCCATCCAACCCCCCAACTCTAGATGTAATTAACAGAAATTACTGCAATTCAATAGACTTCTTTGTTTTACTAATTTAAATTTCATACAGATCGGTTGATAACAAGGTGCAACAAAGTGAAACAAGGGCCATAACTTCACTAATGCAAACAACATATATCAATTTCAAAACAATCAGATGATAAATGTAGTCTGTAGAGTGTTCACAAGAAATTGTGGACGATGGACGGACGGACAGATAGGCGCGACAGCAATATACGACCACAGTTCCATGTGGGCGTATAAAAATGAGACGATTCAAAAGCAGGCTAGGCATACATGTAATAAAATTTTAATCTTATCATTATACATGGAAATAAGATGAATTATATGGTACAATTGTACAATACCCGGTAATCTACAAGTACCTCCTTAAACCAATTGATTGCATCTGAAATCTCAGCATCTTTTAATCCAATATTTGTGAGATCTTTAACCAATTCAGGAAATAGTGCATCAAATTCTTCTAATTCTGTTTTTGCTCTGTTTTCTTTACAGTTTGTTCCATTTCCATTCAATTTTATATGGTCCTCCATTTATACAGACTTCTGTGAAAATTTAAAACCAAACAAAAATATATGTGCGTAAGTGAGACAATATCACTTTCAGTTCACAGAAAATTATTTGAGACAGAATCTTTGACCAATTTCAGTAGGACTTGTTTTCAGAATGTTTTCTACATCAGAAAAATGTGGTGAAATTAATAATAATATGCTTGGGGTAGGCTACTGTCTGAACAAATTGAGTGTTTTTTGATCAGGTGGTAGTGTATGAAATGGGGCAAGTGGCAAAATAACCATCACCTTTTGAGAAGAGTTTCACAAGATAAAAAATTATTTCTTTATTATGCTATTCTTGAATAAACAAAGTATTTTAACTCATTACAAGATTTGTATATTTTGTTTGTTAAAAAATAATCCCAAGTCAAAGTGTCATCCTTTCTTCATATTCCTGAAACAATGGTCTGAGAAATTACTTTCTAGCCTTCTCAATTTTGATTGTCCAAACAATCTATTCTGAATACCATTGTTGGTAGTCGTAGTTCTATTGAGTGTTCAAACAAAATATGTAACATGCAGTCCATCTCTTTGATCTTGTGGTCCAACAGATGGTTTCGAAATCTAGATGCCCGGAGATTTAATCTGAGACCATTTCAGATGTCTAGGCCTATATCTACAAGGAAATCAGGTAAATTTTTACTCCAAAAACACCTTTTTATTCCGAATTTATCACCAGACATTTATTCGATGGCTGAATTGTTCAATTTGTTGCCCGAGATCAAACTGGCATACAATAAGCTACCATGCAATAAGACCACTCACCATACTATACTGAATAGGTTGAATAAGGGGCAATCAAGTCAGCATACAATAAGAAATTCGCTGGATGACCATGACTTCAGTGAAATCACGTGCTCCGTATGGACTAATCCGAGCCTTCGATAAATAAAACAAATTGAAAGTAGTCTATTTTTAGTAACTAGGTTATTGTCTGATAGCGATATTCTTTTTGCTCAAAATAAAATGGGTTTTATCTCTTCTATAGTGTATTATTATGAATGTGCCAGAAAATAACAAGTATATTGAAAGAGCCATTGAAACTTACTTTCCGGTGGTGTATGACACAATAACTGGAATTTCGTATTATAAAGTAGCTAAGTCTCTAACTCAACATTGAAAACGCGATTTATTTGTCAAATTAAATCAACATTCATGTTGTGATCTTACCGGAAAAAGATGGGCTTTTGATATCCAATATTTAAGACAAAATAAACATTTTACCATTGGTACACGAATCGTGTACCATAATGCGCTTCAGCCCCAGTTGTATCAAGAGGCTCGAGGGACGAGGCTAGACACATTGCACCAAATCATGCAATCTGTTTCACAGAGAATTACGAGTCTAGTAATATATCTCTGTCAAAGATGACTGCCTTAACACGTGTCGTCACAGCACGCGGCGTCAATCATTGGCTGAATGGCGCGTGCATTGTTTACATAAGACGTTACTGCTTCGGAGAGAATGCTGCATTTTAGTCATTTTAATACCCATTTACACTAAATAGGAAATAATTTTTACCTACATATACGTCAAACGCCTTTATTTATTTTTCCAATACATAAAAAAAATGTTTTAGAATTTAATTTGTCGCAGGAAAAAAGTTAATATTACTGGCTCATTAAGCCGCATCGATGTCATCCTTATCAGTGATTGTAGCGGCCTCGCAAATATTCACTGCGGATCAGTGTGCAAATCCACACTGATCCGCAGTGAATATTCGCTTGGCCGCTACAATCACTGATAAGGATGACATCGATGCGACTTAATGACTACAAAATATTAACTTTTTTCTTTCGACAAATTAAATTCTGAAACATTTTTTTTTAGTATTAGAAAAATAAATAAAGGTGTTTGAAGTATATCTTGATAAAAAATATTCCATAATTAGCGTAAATAGGTACAGAAAATAGTACGCGGAGGCGTAAAATGGGTAAAACGATATAATTCTGCCCGTACCAGTTCATATTACTACGTTCGATGTAATCAACGCACGTGTGACCATCAATTTGACGGTTTTTTTCTGTTTGTTTACTCTGAATTCTTTCAGAAGTACATTTTTTACCGTCTAATCTGATTGACCTGCTCGTGTTTGTTTTAAAGCAACAAAAACAAGCCACAGAAGTAATCTTTTTTGGCGTTATCGATGCCATCTTGCTTTGTTGGTAAACATTGTGATGTGACGTCAACCTTAGAACTACAGCGGTCTGACCTTTTAAAGGTCAGTCATCTTGGACAGAGATAAAAGACGGATGTCGCATTAGGTCTGTAAAACAGATTGGTGCAAATCATGACCAAATCAAACGGCTTATGTAGACTGGAATAACCAGACGCTAGAAATTTGCACTCGCTTGAGACTGCTGGCTTATTTCGCCGAACATAACTGATTTGAAATTGGAGTAAAAACCGAAACCATTGAATGTAAATCAGTTTATATACATTCATATTACAGTATTATATGCGTTGCGACCCACTTTTGTCAATTTCTAGGTCCCAAATGTTAGCGATTTAGCTCCTTTTGATTTAATAAACACTCGCCCCAACCCACCACTGACTAATTCAGTTCTGAGGGACTCTGCGAAGATCCAAGGATAGGAAAAAATGAGCATGAGATGAGGGTCTGGACATTTCTCCTAAATGATCTAAATCATGTCGGGACACATTCTTACCTGACATGCAGTAGGCCTATACTGTTATCTGAAGCCTACCTGTAAATTTATAATTTGTATCACAACATTTACTGATCTTGGACTGAGCATATATCTCTGAATAAAAATAGATGGAACAATCTAGCCTACTTACGTGGACTTAGATTATAGATAGATGTGATGTGATGAATCAGAATTCGTAGATGTCTAAAAATAGTCTCATGATTTTAACTAAATTTTGCAATAATAATGGCCTGCACTAGATCGATAAATAAATAATTTCAAATACACTTACACATTTGATTTTGAGTCACCTCATAAATGGATTACAATGAGTTAGAACAAGATCAGCCATAAAATTACAACATTTTCGTTTTTCGTTAATAGTTTGAAGTCTTGTTTATCTAGACACGCGAAAGCCTTCTTTCAATACTGTAAAATTATGACATGACCCCGAGGTCACTTCTACTTTTGTTTTGTTCAATATCCCTATATTAAGGCGTCTAACTGTCTGTTTCACACGTACGTAACTAACGTACGAAAATTAATAGGTGGCTAGCTTTTTTTTTTGCACGTATACAGTGAATGGCCATTTTGCTCAGTAATCCCAGCCAGAATTTGGCTATTTTCTAAATTTGCGTTAAAGTTTAAAATATTTGTTTTAGAACTGAAACACATTAACTATTAGTCAATCCCAACGCTAAAAACATCAACAGAATTGATTGCGTATATCTGAAATAGACCCGACCGACGCACAAAATAGTGCAATATGGCGGCCTCTATGAACAACCCTCGCAGACGCTGTCATTGAAGACAACGTCAATTCTCATCCCAAACTTAGGCTGCCTATCTACAGCGCTAGCTCCGGCTGAGAATAGGCCCTAAGCTAATTAACCGACATTTAAATTCCTACATCGACGATTTTAGTCGAAAACACTGAGTATGCTTTTAGAAATTTTTAAAAGTATTTATTTCTCTTCTATTGTCATATTGAATGAAATTAAATATGTTTATTTAGCCGCTGTGTGTATGAAAAATGTCAAACTAATCAAAGGCGAATCACAAAATAGTCCTCTAATTAATCAATATGGCAGCGCCCATGAAACATAATTTCACAGAGGCGGTTTTATTTGCGAAAACAAATTTAGGAGTATCTAACCTTGTTTTGAAAGATAAACAGATTGAAACTCTAAAGACAGTTTACAATGGTAAAGAATTTATTGCAATATTACCCATAGCACATATTATATATCGCTTTTACGCGAGTGTCAGCGACATGCCGTGTTAACATAAAACACACGTGCGTGGGTTATTTTTACTCTGTTGTCTAAACAAAGCGGTCTCGAGTCGATAAGTCCCGCCCCAAAATGATCACATGAGCGTTTTAAATGGCGGATAATCAGCGCAGTGTCACATTCTGGGAAGCATGACGTAGATGGGTCGCTGCGTGCAGTATGCGTCAATTCTATGAGTTGTAGATGTTATTTTTGTGAAAAATCATTGGAAGAAGAGGGAACATGTTGGAACTGTACGAATTATATAGTCTTTATGGGTGCAACGGACACAATGCTGAAGATAAACCTATTGTCTACAATGTTGACCTCATGACCCATTGACGCCAATGTCATGACCTGTGATGTGTCGATCACGTGATATGGATATCATGGCTACTGACTGTGTCTGAGATACTTCTCCACAGGTAGCGTGTCTCAGATGTTCAGAATGTGTTTCACACTGATCACCACATTCGGCAACTAATTTTCGTACGTTAGTTACGTACGCTTCGCTCTATACATGTATATCAAATCAGCAGCCTTGAGACATTTCTGCTCATTTATTAATAATAATATAATAATATCTTTATTTCGAAATGGTGAACAATCTAGGTCCGATATGTATGTACCTTTCTGACACGTTGTGCCCTTTATAACAAAAACAATAAAAATAACAAATATAACAACGGTTATCAATTGAAATGAACATTAAACATAATGGCTTACATATCGATCTTGCACCAATTATGTACCGTGTGGTACATGTATTACCGGTAGTATTATATGATGATTTAGGTTTGAAACATATTATTAGTAATAAGTCTTCGAAAAGAATGAACATTTCTGCAATTTGTTTTTATGGTTTCAGGTAAATCATTCCACAATTTTGCACTTTTGTAACGCAAACTATTCTTAATAATATCTAAATTCGGTCTGAAAAGGGTCAGTCGATCAATTAATACTGCTATAAGGAGTCTTATAATTCAATAATAGATTAGATAAATAAGTTGGACAAACATTGTTAAGTATTTTATATATGAAAATAAGTTTGTTTAATTTATGTCTTGACTCAATATTCAGCAGCTTGCATTTCCTTAGAAAAAGGGGCAAGTCATTAGAATGTTGTGGATCAAAAATGAGTTTTTACATGTAGCCAAAATGATGGCTATACTTCGCATTTTTGACTTTGTTTCTTCAACGTTATTTTTATGAATCATTGAAGAATGAATCATCATGAAAAGATGAGATAAGATATTTATTTCTAATTGTATCACATTCACAGCGCCATTTCATGATTTAGGGTACTGGAATCTGCCGAGGTTTGCCGACTGTGATCAGCAGTGAATATTCGCTAGGCCGCTACAATCACTGATAAGGATGACATCAATGCGACTTAATGAGTCTCAAATATTAACGTTTTTCCACCGACAAATTAAATTCTAAAACATTTTTTTGATGTATTAGAAAAATAAATAAAGACGTTTGACGTATTTGTAGGTAAAAATTATTTCCTATTTAGTGTAAATGGGTAATATGTAACAGGCATTGCCCGAGTAGAGCGAAGCTGGTGTAATTGTTGTTATAAAACTTTCATAATTAAGTTTTTCAAGTGATACAAGTAATTTTAAATAATCTCGTTTTTCCGAATTGAATTTAATTTAGATCTAAATTGTATGATTAATTTTGTTTAAAAAAAGTATGAGATTTATTTTAATTGACGTCAGAAATATATGACGTCATTGATTAAACGCGTCATAAAAATATTTCTATGAGTCGCGTTGGTAAGTTGGCATGTGCATTGTTATTTTTGCCCAGTGTATCCGGCTCCTGTG